AAAAAAGACCACTCCAGACAGGAAAGGGTGTAGAGGGAATCAGAAGAGGAAGCAGGAGAGCTGGGTGCCGGGGAGATGGGAGAAAGGTGGACTTTCCATAGGACAAACCTATGAAGGTTTGGGGAGGCTGAGGCAGGGGCAGAAGGTTCAGACTAATCCTGTGAGGAAGCCGGAGGCCTGTGGTTTACGGAAGCAGGAAAGACTCCTAATGTGGCCATAAGGAGAGCCTCAACCCAAAAGCAGGATTACACCCAGAATCCAGGAAGAGAAGACCTAATTACGCTCCAGGATAAGCTGGGGTACAGACGAAGATCCTCAGGGGAGAGGACCACCTTAAAAAGGACCACGTGGGTCTGTGACCAGGCAGCATATACCTGACTTTGCCTCCCTGCCTGTAATTTATTTTTATTTAAAAAAATTTTTTTTAATGCTTATTTAGTTTTTTTGGAGAGAGAGAGAGTGCGAGCCAGGGAGGGGCAGAAAAAGAGAGAGGGAGACGCAGATCTGAAACAGGCTCCAGCCTCTGAGCTGTCAGCAAGGAGCCTGATGCAGGGCTCAAACTCAGGAACCGTGAGATTGTGACCTGAGCCAAAGTCGGACACTTAATGGACTGAGTCATCCAGGGGTCCCTCCCTGCCGGTAAGTTATAAAAATTCCACCTAACATTTATGTTACGCTTTATAAAGATGGTGCTTTCATGGGCATTCCCACAATATACCCCTTAAGAAGGCATTTTAATTTCTACTTTATATTTGTAGGAATTCAGTTAGGAAAGGTTAAACTAGCAGCCTTTGATCCAACCAGCTATGTGACTTTAGGCATAGCTACAGCTCAACTTTTGAGTCTGAGGCCTTTTATTATTTATCACAATTGCCCCTCCCATGACCAGCATTGACCAGGCCACCTGAGAGTAGCTGACTCCCCTGAAGCCGGCTGTCCCTGAGGCCTCTGCCACCCCCTGGGCGGGTGAGATCCCAGCTTTCTAAGAGGTACTAGGGGAAACTGGCAACAAGTTAAAAGACAAATTTAAAAATTTCAGATCAAGAAAAAAATGCCCGGAAAGAAAGACAGTGTTATGACAGAGGAAGACTTGGTGACTGGTAGGGACGAGAGTGGTCATCAGTTCAGAGGGGGTAATTGCGGAGGGCTCACGGAGGAGGTGATTTCTGAGCTGTGACCTGAGTGGTAAAAAGGAACCACGTGTGGAACAGAACAGAGAGCCCAGAGATAAGTCCACACACAGACAGTTGGTCTTTGACACCAAAAACGCACAGAGGGGAAAGGACGGTCTCTTCAACAGACGGTGTGGGGAAAAGTGGACATCCACAGGCAAAAGAATAAAATTCATCATCAGGGAAACAGAAATCCAAACCATAATGAGGCACCTCATATCTGTCAGAGTGGCTATTATTAAAAAAAACAACAAAAAACCACAAAAGAAGTGCTGGCAAAGATGTAGAGAAAATCGAACCCTTATACACTGTTGGTGGGAATACAAGTGGTACCGTCATTATGGAAAAGTGAGGAGACTCCTCAAAATATTAAAAATAGAATTGCCATATGATCCAGCAAACCCACCTCTGGGTACTTAGCCAAAAGAACTGAAGTCAGGGTCTCAAAAAGATACTTGCACTCCTGTGTTCACTGCAGCACTGTTCACAATAGTCAAGATATAGAAACAGCCTAAATGTCCATCGATGGATGACTGGATCAAAAATGTGGGATATACATGCACTGGAATATTATTTAGCCTTAAAAAAGAAGGAAATCCTGCCATACACAACAACATGGATGAACCTGGAGGACATTACCCTGGGTGAAATAAGCCGGTCACAGAAAGACAGGACTGCACGAAGTATCTGGAAGAGTCAAGCCCACAGAATCGGAGAGTGGAATGGCAGCTGCCAAGGGCTGGAGAGAGAGCACTGCAGAAGGGGTAACAGAGGGCTGCTAACTAACAGACACAGAGTTCCAGTTACACCAGATGAGTAAGTTCCAGAGGTCTGCCGTACCACAGTGTGCCTGTAGTACTCTTAGAAGTTTAAGAGGGGAGACCTCACGGTAGGTCTTCTTATCCCAATAAAATTTCTTTTTTTTAAAAAAAAATTTTTTTTTTTTTAACCTTTATTTATTTTTTTGGGACAGAGAGAGACAGAGCATGAACGGGGGAGGGGCAGAGAGAGAGGGAGACACAGAATCAGAAACAGGCTCCAGGCTCTGAGCCATCAGCCCAGAGCCCGACGCGGGGCTCAAACTCACGGACCGCGAGATCGTGACCTGGCTGAAGTCGGCCGCTTAATCAACTGCGCCACCCAGGCGCCCCATCTCAATAAAATTTCAAAAGAGCCACGAGAAGATGTTGTGGGTCAGAATGTTCCGGAAGAGAAGACATGGAATGTGGATGCTCTAAAGAGGAAATGAGCTCAGTGCAGGCGAGGAACAGAGAGCAGACCAGCGCTGCTGGCAGCTTGGTGAGAGAGAGCAGTGGTTAAGAGCGGGGCCCAAAGGCAGGCCCGACCACACAGGGCCCACGGGGGAGGTTTACACAGAAGCCGCTGGAGCCTTTCAACTGAGAGATGACACAATCCGCTGTGTTTTCAAACAGTCCCCCTAACTGCCGGGTGGAGGGCTTGCAGGGGTATAGGTGGGGACGATTTGGATCACATGTCAGTGTCAGGACCCAGAAAGCCCTGACCACCATCTTGAGGGTTGCGGACCCATAAAGCTTGGCTACTACGGAGGCTGTGGTGCTTTCGAAACGGAGGGAGGGCTTGGCCTGCCAGATTCCTGGAAAACTGGGAGCACTGCTTCTGAGAAGCAACCTTCGTTTGTTGGACTTTGTGCCTTAAACATACTCAGCAGTGCCTGTTTCTCTGCTCTCCATTATTTCATTTCTCTGCACTGACTTTGCTCTTAAAATGACTGATTTTTCTGCTTGCCCTTTTATAAACAGACATGGCCACAATCTGTCGGAAAGCCTTGCAAGTGAATCCCCACGCTAACCCAAGGATGTCTGCACATCCGTCCCTAAGGGGAAGGCATAAAGGTGGCTACTTACCTCGGCGCAGAGTGTGCGGGCTGGGGCCGGCGGAATTGTGCCCTGGGCCGACTGAGAGCTGATGGGAGCCAGCCGCTGCCTGGGCCTGGTTCGGGCCAGCGGCCATCTGACTGTTGCTTCTCCCCGGGGTGGGTGCGGGGGCAGGGGCAGAGTCCTTGGGTTTCGGCGGACTAAGGGGAGCAAAGTCAAGTTAGATGTTGGATGGTCCAAGCTAGAAAGCTAATAAGCAAGCTAAAAATACCAGATCCCAACCAGAGTTCTCACCTCCACAGGCAAGGAGGTGATCTGGAATTTGAAACAGTTCACACTGGGTCTACAAAGCTAGTATTTGTTTGGGGCCACACAGGACTAAATATTTCATGAGATTCATTGCATCAGACTGTCTTTCCACTCTTCTGCCCCTTGAACATCATGATAGAGACCATTTCATAGCAACCAACAAGAAATTTCTAGTTTGCCTGTACTTAAGATTGGGCAATACTGAAAAACACAAAAGGGCTTTTGGACTTCACACTAATGAGATTTTGACACATACAGTGTATAAAACAAAGCAAAAGCTGTGGCAAAATACTAGTGCTGTAAATTACAAAGTACTCGGTTATTATCAACAGTTTGGACTTGAGGAAAGAGAAACCCTTTGATCGCTCAAAGTCCGGAGCTGGTTAGCAGCAGGGGAGACGGAGATCGGAACTCGGGCTAGTTCCCGGGTCAGACCCTCTTACACTAAACCTGACAACTACATTTTGTCAGGGTCACCAAACAGTGAATGCCACTAGCCAAGTGTACACAAAAATGTCTACAAAGCATAGAAAACAAAGGCAAACCGAGGACTGACATTCTATTTGTCCATCTGCAGTGAATTCTGATTATTATCTTAAATAATGTATTTAAGCCTTGATTGAATGGGTTGAATGCTAACAACAGGTACATGAAAATGTGAGGGTTTGCGAGTACTTTTTTCCCAAAGAAAAAAATTTAAGCCAAAACAAAGACGTGTGGAGCAGCGGTTAACGAGACAACACGGAGCCTCAGTTATTTTTCACCAAAATGTGAACTTGCGCAAATTATGGACTAAAAAGGAATTCAGGAAGATGCAGAGAGTCAGAGTTCAGGTGTGACGACCGAACAAGATTCCGCTCTCGTAAGCAGCTGGCTTACGAGGAGGCACTCCCTCCCCATGCAGAGGACAGGAAGTGAGGGAGCTCTCCCGAGGCAGCTTCGTCTCTGCACACAATGTATGCAGAAACAGGTTATCCTTGTTCTGTGCATCTGTTTTACTCAATATGTGATTATTTAGTGCTTTATAGAGGGCCGCGATAAACATTTGAGCACGTGCTCTGCAGAGGGGCTCATCTTTTACAGCAGCTTCCGGTCCGGAACCACCTGAGATACCACTTGAAGTGGCCTCCAGTGGTCATCTGCCTGGGTCAGTGTGGAGAAGTGAATTCATGCACATTAAACAGAAATCTCAAGTTCAAAGGTCCTCTTTTTTTCAAGCTGCTGTATATTTGTACCCCACTCCAGATGGTTAATCTAAAGGAATCAACAAAAGAGCCTTTTAAGAAAATTTATCATATTTTTTACCTTGTACTCACATTATCAATTTGCCTACGAGACTGAACGCTAGGGGTTGGGAAGGTCTCAGTCACCAACTGCGTCTAGTACAGCGTCCAGTACTCAGTTAGTTATTCAATAAGTCTGACTGGATGGATGGATGGATGGATGGATGGATGGATGGATGGACGGACAGACGGGTGGACGGGTGGGTAGATGGATGGGTGGGTGAGTGGGTGAGTGAATGAATGAATGAATGAATGCCAAGGATACTATAAGTAACTTGCTACATTCAAGTGTTAACCAGTTAGCACACTAGATGGCAACAAGCGAGTGGTCAATGGACATTAAGTGCACATCCAACAGCTAAAAGAGGTTTACAATACTGCTAGCCACCTATTGGCTTCCAGCACCGAAGCAGTACGGTAAAGAATGCAAACGAATGTTGCTTCTTTTGGAAAACAGGAAAGGAAGCAAGCAATTTGCAGTCTTTTTTTCCCCATCCTTTGCCAACCAGAAGAGTGAAGGCGAATCCGGTTCACTCTCTGCCGAGTGATTCTGTGGGCCTGGATGCCGTGCCCACAGGCCAGCCCCTGCGAGAAGGCTGGGGCACCGGGCACCCAGCAGAAGCCGGCCTCCTTACCTGTCGCCCAGGCTTGGCCCCTGCTCCAGTATGCCCGCAGAGGAGGGGACAGCCCCACCCCCTGTGCTGCTTTCAGCCCTAGAGCTCTGGGGAGGGGGCTCTGGGCCCGCAGGAGCCAAGGTGCCGCCATCTGTGGGTGGGAGTGGCGGCTGGAAAGCTGGGGCTATGTGCTTTCTATTTAGAGTGCCACCTCGCCGGTGGGCCTGGAAGTCCATAAGCTTCACACCAAAGCTACACAGAAAGAAGAAACAGTCAACACACCATGCAAGCTGACTACTGAGACAGAAGCCCATCGGTCCACGCGTGTTGAAACCCACACGCGTGGACAGCCCCCCGGTTGCCCAGCATGCAGTGAAGCGGCGCGGACCAGGTTCGCGGCCATCCCTATTACCAAGGCAGGCAGCTCACCCGGGCTTTAAACCTGAGCGAGCCGACAGACCCGGTCCCGATCAGTGTCCTTTCTCAGTCTGGGGGTGAACAGCTGCAAGCCAACGGGCGGGCCTCGCCTCGAGTGAGTGGCATCACGTTAGCCTGCCTAGCTGCGTGCCACCCAAGGGCCACCTCGAGTCTGTGTGTTTGGGGGATGAGGTGGGAGCTGAGTGGGAAGGTTGTGACGCCACCCTGCTTCTTGAGCCGAGATGTAGAAACACTGGTGCATGAGTGTGCAAAGAATAGATCTGAAAGGGTCCGTAACCTTGGGAAAAACAGTTGCTTTTGGGAAGAAGATGGCAGTTGGAGGGTGGGGAGGAGGAAGATTCACTTTTCGCTTAAAATTTACTTGATGCGTGAACTTTCAAACTCTTCAGTTTGAAAAATCGAGGCGCATGGCTTCTTGAGCTCATGTTTACTGGGTCAGCTGGTGGGGAGAATCCACCCCGGGGGGTAACCAAGAATCGTTTACTATATGCCAGTCAGACCCGTAACACTGCATTTTGTAACCTAAAGTCCGTGAAGGCTCATTTCGTGGTGGACAGTTTGTCATCGAGCAGCAGGACCAAATGTGTGAATGGGACTGCAGAGAAGTAAGGTCTCAGCACGTAATAAATGCGGGCTTCGGGGGGACCGAGTAGGGAAGGAGAGCCTTCACCGTGGATTAAAAACAACCACTACCAAGCAAAATCAAACAAAAAAAGATCATAGCTCGCTACAAGATCGGGTGATCGAAATAGGAGCCTGCTGTTCAGCTGTAATGTAACACCACGTCTGTGATGTTAATACTTATGCGTGTGCAAGAACAGCACGCTACTCAAACAGGCCTAACTTGGCCTTACTGGTGAGAATGGGGGTATTTCATCATACACACTGAGCAGGCTGGCCTCTGAAGACACAAATCACAAAGAGCCTTACTAACCTTTGAAAATCCCACTAAAATCGCCCATGGAGCACAGCACGGAGACCTACGGTCTCTCACTAGATCTGATACCACCCACCATCTTTTTTTTCTTCCAGAATTGGAAATACTCAAGTTTCTCCAGATGAACATCAGATTCAGTGGTTGGCTTCCACTGAAGGGCCACGTTCTATCCAAAATGTGTCTCTTTAAACACTAAGTCACACAACTTTACTGTGAGAGGTGGGTTATTCTCACACTCGCTCCTGGACATCTGTCCACAATATTTAACTTTTCTCCCCCACCCTCTCTCTTTTCCCCGAGTGCGTTCGGGTGGCTCTGTCACGTGTATGATGCCATCCCACAGACCACCAAGGAAAGCCTGGACGCACATGGTCTGGATGTTAGTAGACAAGCTACCCATCTGTCTTACGTAAGTCATATTAATGTTTGGAATGAACTAGAGCAAAATTCCTTAAATATCTGGACCTAACAATCACGGGGGCATAGTGGGCCATTCTCATGACAGGTCGGCTGAGGCCGGACCAGATACCGAGGGTTCAACCATCCTTCTACATGACATCTGCTGCTGGATGCGAGTGAACAGCTCTGAACACACACCTCTCCTTCTTCACCAAGTCCCCTTCCATTATTGCCATGCTGGCAGGTCGTTTCCTCTCGAGGGTCCCTGAGTCAGAGTCATTTCCAGTGTGAGATGAGTGATTGGAATTTGGGGTGACGAGAGGCACGAATGCTTCTGAGACGTTAAATTCCACCTCTGCAACAAGAGAAAGAAACAAGTGTACAGGCACACCTCGGAGACGCTGCAGGTGCGCCGTCCGACCACTGCAACAAGGCGAATATCACGATAAAGCAAGTATCACGATAAAGTGAATACCCCAATAAAATGAGTATCGTAATGAAGCAAGTCAAGTAACTTTTTTGGTTTCCCAGAGCATATGAAAGTTAGGTTTACTCTATACTGTCATCTATTCAGCATGTAATAGCATTATGTCTAAAAACACAACGTATATACTTGAAATAGAAAGTACCTTATTGTTAGGGTGCTTGGGTGGCTCAGTCGGTTAAGCGACCAACCCTTGATCTCAGCTCAGGTCATGATCTCACAGTTCACGGGTTCAAGTCCTGCATTGGGTTCTGCACTGACGGCATGGAGCCTGCTTGGGATTCTCTCTTTCTCCCTCTCTCTCTGCCCCTCCCCCAACCTCGCTTTCTCTCTCTTTCTCTCAAAATAAATTCACTTGTCTTTTAAAACGATTTTATTCTTAAGAAATGCTAACTATCATCTGAGCTCTCAGTGAGTCGTAATCACTGATCACAGATCACTACAACAAATATAATGAGAAAATTTGAAATACCACAAGAATTACCATAATGTGACAGAGACACGAGATGAGCAAATGCTGTCAGAAAAACGGCACCGACAGACATGCCCAATGCAGGGTTACCACAAGCCTTGTCTGTAAAATAATGCAGTATCGAGACGCGCAATAAAGCAAAGCGCCATAAAATGAGGTTTGCCCGTGTGTGACAAGAGAGCATATGGGGGCACAGAGCTTTAAAACTCCCTCTGCAACGAGGGCCTCATTCTTCAGCCCCTCAGCCCTCATTGCTTCACAAGTGGAACCCCTGCAATCTCCTCTTAAGAATGGTTTGCCAAGGGGTACCTGGGTGGCTCTGTCGGTTAAGTGTCGCACTCTCGATTTTGGCTCAGGTCATGAGCTGGTGGTTCGTGAGATTGAGCCCCACGTTGGGCTTGGTGCTGGGTGTGGAGCCTGCTTGGGATTCTTTCTCCCTCTCTCTCTCTCTCTCTCTCTCTGGCCCTCCCTCTTTTGTGCTGGTTCTATCTAGTAATTAAAAAAACAAAACAAAAAAAAGAATGGTTTCCCAAGCCAGGGGAGGTAAAATGAAGGAACTAGAAATAAGGAAGGGGTGTGATTCAGAATATAACTTACACGATCCCTCTGCTTTCTTCTTTGTTTAAAAAAAAAAAAAAAATCATGGAATATGGACAAGGGCAATAAGCATGGATTACTTCTTTGGATAAAAAAATGAAAAGTATTTACATTTTGATTATAAAATGCAAATAAAAGGCAACACCAACTCTGTACTGCCTGAAGCAGTTTTTCCAAGACTCGTTTTCCCAAAGAAATCTTGGGCAGAATGCCAGGATTCACTCAGACATCACGTATTTGTTGAGCAGCCTACACGAGGGAGGTGGGATTCTTGATGGTAAAGAAGAGGTGAGCCTGGCCTGGGGTCATTCACAGAGCTCACAGAATAAGGGGCGGGGGTCTGGACTCCCAAAACATGCCGACCAGTGGCCCCAAAGAGGGTCGTGGAAACTCTGAGGATCCCAGGACTACAACAGACGCAGTTTGAAAATCTACGGCCTGTAGACTGAAATCCTACTTCTCTGACATGCCAACTCCGACCTTCACAAAATGGCTCCAATCCACCTATCCTGTGTTACCTTCCACCTTTACGAAAAAACCAGCTCTCTGCCTAGAGAAACAAAAAGAGGTCTTCCCAATGGAAAACTGCATATTCAGTGTCACCTCTTCTACAAAGCAGTCCCTGGTTCTTTGTGCCCAGCATCTGACTTTGTCAAACTATCCGCCTTTCCTTCTCACTCGCCATGTGTTACAACATCTGTGTATGTGTCCTTCTCCAAGGGCCAATTTCCTCCAGGGGACAGCATGTCACCACCAGCGTGTGGTGCCTAGTGGGTATTCCAGTATACGCTGGTTAGAGCGAACAACTCCAGTGTTAAGTGAAACAAAGCGAAACACAAAATAATGTGGTGGCCAATACGTCAAAGATGAATGTTTAAGCGGTCTATTTTACACTTGATCTTAGCCAAAAGGCCGAGAAGCGATTGTAAGCGGTCTATTTTAAAAAGAAACGCGAAAAAGGGAAACCAGTTAGGTAATGGTGAAGGGATTACTGATGCATTTTCTTCTCAGAAGAATTTCTTATACTGTTATTGTGTTGCTTGGGCAGTCAGTGAAGTTGGAAAGGTGAATTACCTTCAGGGAAGAACCAGTCGGCGTGCTGAATGATGGGCTCAATGACCGCAACCACGTGGACAGATGTGGCCGCTGCCATTTCAGCTAGCGACCTGCAAAGGACATTCACAAAGTCAAAGTGCTTCCCCCAGGCAGGTTGTGTCACGGCAGTGTAATTACTTTAAAACGATAAAATCCTCAAGCACAAGTGCAAAAATTAGATGCACGGGGCTCTGACCTAGGAGTGTGGCAGTGATGCCCCAGGAGGAAAAACTACCCCACTTGATTATCGCTCCTTGGTCTGCGTGCACCGTGTTAACAGCGAGTGAGCCAGTGAACAACAGTGTTCAGTCCAAATGCTGATTTTAAGTTGGTTCGGAACAGGATGTCAACCAGGCATTTTCGCACCGTGTTCCCACCGTGTTGCCCGTGGTAGTTATCTTGTAAGACCCGAGATACCACCACCAGTTTTGGCACCACATACAGCAGAAAGTATGTATTGTTTTGCTGTGCCCTCGTATCAGAAAGCCTGAGCCCCCACAGTAAACATAGTATTAAGGGGGCACCTGGGTGGCTCAGTCGGTTAAGCATCTGACTCTTGCTTTCGGCTCAGGTCATGATCTCACGGTTCGTGGGTTCGAGCCCTGTGTCAGGCTCTGTGCTGACAGTTCAGGGCCTGCTTGGGACTCTCTCTCTCCCTCTCTCTCTCTGCCTCTCCTCTGCTCTCACTCTCTCAAAATGAATAAATAAACTTTTTTAAAAAAAAGCCCACAGTATTAAGGCTGTGATATCTGGTCCCAAGATGCGTGTTCAGAAGTTGACAGTGTGAATGTCAGGGCTCAAAAGGAAGAAAATAAGAATCACTATCCCCGCTGTCAAGGAGCTCACGTTCCAGTTCAGAGTCAGAACACCACAGAAGCCAAGAAGCTGTGAAGGCCTGACACCCAGGGAGCCCCCACGTGCTTCAGTGAACTCACCTCACTGAACTCAATGTTTACAACACGGACTGTTACAAGGTCTGGGTCATAAATGAGGACACTAACCCCCAAGAGGCTGGAGCCCTTGCCTGACTGCCCCAAACCTCCCTCTATACCCCTCTGACCTCTCTTCCCACCGGGAAGAACATCTTCACCCCCATTACCAATCAAGCAAACGTTCTAGCTCCTTTCAAATTCCAGCTTAAAATGCAAGCACGGTTGTATATTTTCCCCACTGCCCACTCAGTCCTCCCTTCCGTCCTTCTGGATTCTGATTGCCCTTGTGCCTTAGAACCCTGCTGGACTAGGGAGCAACTCTTCACTCATGATCTCAGCCAAGTTTTCTTTTTGAGGAGATACTATCTGCTGATTGATTTGCAAGACCTTTCAATATATTCTGGACACTTCTGGAGGAACTCCTTCATAGTTCGTGAATTACCATTTGCTTAAGGTGCTTTCTGACATTTAGAAGTTTGTAGCTGTTGAGACAAATCTATTCATTTTTAAATTGTTTACACCAATTTTATGTTTCGAAAAGACCTCTATCCCAAAAGGCAGTAAGTATCTACCTGCCATGTTTATGGCATCACTTTTTATATAATTAATCCTTTGGTCTGGTCTACCTGGAATTTATTGGCTGTAAGATATGATGTATGTAGTTAACTTTGTATATCAACGTAGCGTTAGTTTTGCTTTATGATATTGGATCTTTTTAAGTAATCTTATACGTAATGGTTGGGCGGGCATGAGTGAATAAATAAATGAAAAAAAGAGAAAGGTTTTAATTCAGAAAGTCACTGCATTTTTTTTTAATGGAGATGAGGACTGCCCATGATTTTCCAATATGAAGAAACATGGAGGGAGTCCTGGGGTGGTGGGGAAGGTTCGTGATGTGGCCTGGGGGTCCCATGACTTCCCTGCTGTGCAAACTTAGGCAAGTTACTGGTCCTCTTCTGTAAAAATGAGGACAGAAGCACCTATTAGAAAGGTTATTCGTGAGAATTGAAATGAGGTTAATTATTATGCCCCTGGACAGAGTAAATGTCAGTGTCAGTGATTCTCCAGGAGCTTTCTAGCTGGTCTCCCTGACCCCTCTCCTCCAATCCACATTTCTCAGTGCCAGCAAATTATCTTTCCAAATATGGTTGGATGAAGTCATTCTTCTGCTTAGAAACCCTGATGCCTCCCTGACCACTTATGATCCCTTAAATTCGTTCTAAACCTCAGCAAGATACGTGAGGCTCTTCAGAACCTGGCTCTGGCTGCATAATCCCCAGTCACAGTCTCCTGGCCCCTGATTATACAAGACCATATGACAGCACTCCCAGCCCCAAATTAGCAACCAGACCCTTCCATGCCTGCAATGACTTTGCTTATCTGGTCATACCTGCAGGAAGGTATTCATTCATCCAAGTACAGCCCAAGTGCCGTGCGAGGCTCTCCCTGAACTTCTCAGCCTGTGCTGTGTTCCTTCAGTAAGTACCATGGTCATCCAACTTTGTAACATCTGTGACAGCATCCCCACGAGCACAGACTATGTGCAGAGCTCATCACTGTGCCACAGCTGTTCATCTGCCTGACTGCCCAAGAGTGGGACCCTCTGAGGACTGTGCATGTGACCAGCACCGGGGACAGGACCCAGTTCATAGCTGTGTTCCAAGAATGTTGGCTAAATGGAAAAACCCAAGTTCAGAAGCGCAACTCTGAAGTGCATCTTACACCAGAATGTATTCCCACCAGGTGGAGAGAAGAGATGAATCCAGGCATACGGGGAAGACTTACCCTTCGTTTTTGGCCCATAGTAAGTTAGGGCCTAACACAATTGCAATGTTGCTGGGAGTCATTTTATTAATGTCGCTGGTCTGGGCAAGCTTTGCAAGGAACTTGATTAAATACCTGTGGAAGAAACGAGAAGAGAGGAAGCACGTACTCTGAAACCTTTGCACTTATAGCATCCTCCTGCCCACATGCTCAGTTCCAGATGGCTCAGGTGCTAACTGCAGAGTGCCGCTAAATCAGAATCTGCCTCAGGTTCAGTATTTTACAAAGTCCTGTGTTCTTTGCTTCAGAGAACAGAAAGCCCCACGTTAGGGCTTGGAAGAGGAAAAGAGCTCATGTGTAAACCTCAATGAGTCAATCCCTATTTACTGTATATTTCTAATCCATTTCTCCTTTATGCCCTACCTATGTACCCCTCAATTACAATATGATTAGCTGTGGGCTCAATATATTTTAATACAAACATAAAAAAATACAAGTATAGGTACACTGCTTAAAGGAAATTGTATTTGAAAATGCTTTATGTGGTAATTATGAAAATCTCCAATTTACCATATAGATATACTCTCTTCTATATAAGCACAGCACCTCAGGGGCACCTGGGTGGCTCAGGCTATGATTTCGAGGTTTGTGAGTTCAAGCCCTGCATTGGGCTCCGTGCTGTCAGTGCAGAGCCTGCTTGGAATCCTCTCTCTGGGCCCCGCCCCCTCTCTCAAGATAAATAAATAAACTTAAAAAAAATTATCTCTGCCTCTACCCTGCTTGTTCTTTCTTTCAAAATAAATAAACAAACTTAAAAATAATTAAAAAAAAAAAAAAGCGGGGGGGGGGCACATGGGTGGCTCAGTTGGTTAAGCATCTGACTCTTGATTTCAGCTCGGGTCATGATCTCACAGTTCATGAGCAGGGCTCTACGCTGTGGTGCAGAGCCTGTTTGGGACTCTCTCTGTCTCCCGTGTCTCTCTTTGCCTCCACCCCACTTGCTCTCTCTTTCAAAACAAATAAAAAAAAAACTAAAAAAATTTTTTAAATACATAAACTATAATATATCCATACAGTAGAGTACTATGCAGCCATAAAAAATTGTTATGTGCTGATATGGAAAAATCTTTAGGATGTATATCCAGCAAAGAAGTTAAAGAGAATGATGTATACAATATATACTACCATTTGGTTTTTTTAAAAAAAGGGAAGCATGTAAGAGAAAGAAATGTATGTATGTGTATATATGTGAGAGATTCTTCTCTGTACAGCTTTTGAATTTTGAACTATGGGAACATACTCCCTATTACAAATACAATTAGTAAAAATTATAAAGAGTAAAATAAACAAAAAAAGAAGCCAAATCCCAAAGTTCCACCATAGTTCTAACCAAGACTATCTGTAATCCCAGGCTGGGTGTGCTAAATGAAGCAATGAAGGTTACTAAAAATATTAACATATTCCTAAGGCAAAGTTGATACTTAAGGTATTAAAAGGGAATATTTAGCTTAGTTTAGTGGTAGAATCCAGGACTGAAATTAAAGGTCGGGTAACATACCAGAAATTTCACAAGTATTTGTCATTTTGGGCCAAGTCCCCTGTACAAAATTCTCTTTGGTTTTCAATGACTTAGGGCTACCTTTTATCCTCTCTATGCTTCTTCAGAGTCACATTTTAAGTCAAAAGGAAAATAGAGGTTAAATTCTAGAAATTTATTCTGTGGTAAATTTTCTTAGAAACCTAGCTATTCCGTAAAGCAATACATCATCTCCAGTTCTTGACCTTTCATTTAATGGGATGATTGATGCTCTATTAAAGATAAATTTATGTAGCGTATAAAAACACTATTGCAGAAAATAGAATTATTAATTTTTGCCTTTACATGCTGGAAAATCTTATTTACTTACTTATTTGCTTGCTTATTTACTTACTTATTTACCCATCCATCCAACCATCCATCTATCTCTATCCCCAATGTGGGGCTTGACTCACAACCCCAACCCCAAGATCAGGAGTCACATGCTCCACCAACTAAGTCAGCTCAGCGTGCCCCCATAGAACAACTTAGACTCTGAATCCAACGTGCAGTCAAGCCAACTTTCCACGAGAACCTTCTTCCCCGTAGCTGCAGTGGTAAACTGACCAGGTGACTCACGTGTTCGTGCAGATGCAATGCAGGTGCTTCACGTGCAGCACGATAACACACAACAAATCCCATGCCCTGCGCCCCCCCCCCCCCCCCCCCCCCCCCCCCCCCCCCCCCCCCCCCCCCCCCCCCCCCCCCCCCCCCGGCACCCTCCAAAGCACTTCTGTAGTGCGCTTGAATTAAGTGGCCTCTGCTGCAGGTGGAACCTTTCTTCACTCCAGAGTCGCTGTGGCTTGGTAGCTTAATTTGCAGAATGCTGGTCATTCGTACCTGAAGTTAACAAAATTTTGTGGTGGCAACTTCTGACATGTTCTCCATAAATCTTGAAGTTTTTTGTCTTGATCCTGCACACTGAGGAAAAAAAAAACCCGGTATTTTTTTATCAAAACTCTTTATCAAAACACCTATTAGTAACACCTGTGTCAACAGGCTACATTAACAGCAATGTCTTCGTTGACAGAGAAAGCACAGTTGTGACACAGGGTAGATTTGGAAATAAATAAATTTGGAGTCAGATACCAACTAAATATTTAACTCTGGGCAGTTGGTTAGCCTCACTGAGACTCAGTCTCCTGACGTGCCCAACAGGGGATGAGAGTGTTGATTCCACCGAGTGACTGTGAGTTTCCAGAAGCATCGCCGTGCAAACTGCCCGTGCCAATGCCCGGCACTCGTGAGACAAGACACCACCGAAAATTCTGTCTAGAAAACGCGTATCTCTGTGTGTGGCTTCATGGAGCCCAGATCTCTCGTCGGCCCAGCCACACATGAGGTGGCCAAGCTCCCAGGCACCCAGGTACCAGTGTCTTTCCCTGCCCTTCATGCCACTCCAAAAGTCTCCAGGCCAAGAAGCCCTTTTCTGTGCTGAAGCATTTGCAGGAGCTCTTCTGCTCTACAGTTCCAACACAAAAACTTTCACAGATACAAAAAAGGGCCAGATGAGATCAGTCACCCCTGCCCGCCAGGAGGAGAGCACGTTAGAAGTTGCCCACACAATATACCTTTGGATCTAAAACATCCTCCACAAATGAAGCAATCTGGAGTTACAAGAAGGGGTCAAACGTAATTATACTTTAAGTAAGCTTCACGCCCCATGTGCAGCCCAACACAGGGCTTGAGCTCACGACCCTGAGATCAAGACCTGAGCTAAGATCAAGAGTAGGATGCTTAACGTACTGAGCCACCCAGGCACCCCAAACACAATGATACTTTAAAGGCCAGTCGATGTGTCACCGGGATGGGATGGTGGCCCATGCTGACATTTCTCAAGTATATGGAATCAATACACCAATAAACAGATACCTTCTTTGAAAAGTGTATTTCCTCACAGGGATGAGTTTGAGAGTCTCAGAACTGAGAGAAGAATCAAGTTCGGGAGGAGTAGAGGCTACCTAAGAAAAGAGACCCCAGAAAGCTCCCCTACCTGACACTGATGTTGGGTTCCATTTATTCAGCCCCACAAACATGGACCCTTACAACAGGTTGGGCCACACGCAGGTTCCAAGGATATGACCACAACTAAGAATTTATTCTGACTTTAAAAACCTCATCACCTACCCAGGACGTGTTTCGCATTCTGTGGCCACAAAGGTTCTGGCGCAAATGCGGTTAAAACGATGGGGCAGCCCCACCTCCTGTTGCAACCGAGCTCATCAGACCCAGCGGCCCATCTGCTGGGAATGGGTGACAGTGGCTAAAGACGGGGAAGGGGTGGAGGGGAAGGGAGATTTGTTCCTCTTCCCTTAGGGGTGAGGAATTAGGGACCTGCCGGAGGAGGTGAGTCAGAACCGTGAGGCACAAGCTAACAGGAAGGCAGGCTGGTGGGCCAGATCGAAGCCCCTGGGACTTTTTGGACAAAGCTGCCAGCGGCTCCTGGACAGACTGAAGCTGAGGGTGGAGGGGAAGGGACAAAGATAGAGGCACAGTCTTTGGACTGTGGGTCTTTAGACAGGTCTGGGTCTAAATTCCCACTCTGCCAATTACTTGCTGTTACCTTGGCCCTGTTCCTCCCCAAGTCTCAGTTTCCACATCTGTAAAATAAGGATAATGGCATCTTCCCTTTAGGTCATTGATTGTGGATTACAGGAGGTAATGGGTACAAAGATTAGTAGGTACTTAGGACACAGTAAATGCTCAGCAAGTGTAAACTGTCATGACTGGTGCCATCAACATTGTATTATTGCCCTGCTGAGTGTCCACAGTTCACCAGGCACATCGCCACTGATCACTACGTCACCTGTCCCCGTTATAGGGCTGTCTTCATTATAAAAGGGGCTTGGGATCAGCTGATCTATGAGTGCGGGTTCCACTATATGTCTTCATCGACATACATCACACGTATTGAAGCCAATGCACTAGGGGTGACTTTCCTATACTAATAATCATACTCACACTCAATATTTTCACCCTAAACTTAAGAGCATGCTAAATAACGAATGTGCTATTTTAATGTTATTCTATATCCCCCAAGAGTAAGATAATTCACGAAGGGAACATAATATTCCATAATATTCCTTTAACTTATAAAACTCCGTGTTCTTTAAACTTACCTTGCCACTTGGGTCCATTCTTCATACAGACTGAAGGTCATCAAAGGTTCAGGTAATTCCCGTAAATAGGACTTTAAAGCACCTGGAATTATTAACACTCACTTTGAGTATGTCCAGGGGTAAGCATGGGAATTTGGGATGTGTTACTTTGCAAGCTGAAATGATCTCAGTTACCACCTTCCGAGAGTATCTAGAACAAGCCACTAACCAGCGGGAGTGGCTAGAGAATTAGGTGCTCCTAAAACAAATTCTGTCTCTTGCATAATATAGAGAGGGATCAATGGAAAATAAAATTAGCTTCAAAGTCACCTTCTAATAGACATCACTTCCCCAGGAAGATCTCGAGTCTGAAGGTGAAAGAAGGGAAGGAAAGGGGCACTTGGGGTCTCAGTCAGTTGAACATCTGACTTCAGCTCAGGTCATGATCTTACGGTTCATGGGTTCGAGTCCCTTGTCGGGCTCTGTGCTGACAGCTCAGAGCCTGGAGCCTGCTTCAGATTCTGTCTCCCTCTCTCTCTGCCCCTCCCCTGCTTGTGCTCTCTCACTCAAAAATAAACATTAAAAAATTTTTTTTTTATTAAAAAAAAAAGAAGGGAAGGAAATACAAGCATGTCTCCAAATATCTGGATTATAAACCACCTTTACCTTTTACGTAATAATCAGGAAAACAAAGAAACAAATAAACCCTCCAGAACAGAAAAGACGTGTGTGTGTGTGTGTGTGTGTGTACACTCAGCTTTTTAAAAAAGTTTTATTCATTTAAGTAATCTCTACACCCCATGTGGGGTTCGAACCCATGACCCTAAGATCAAGAGTTGCACACTGTTCTATTTGTCCTTTCAGTTTTTTCCAATTAAACTTATATAGGGAGACCATTTCAATTTTATCTGTCACTTAAACCTAAAATGAAAAAAAAAATTTTTTTTAAGTAGGCTCCACACTCAGCACAGAACCCAACGCAGGGCTTGAACGTCTGACCCTGGGATCATGACCTGAGCTGAGATCAAGAGTCGGATGCTTAACTGACTGAGCCACCCAGGCGCCCCCAGAACTGGATTTTTGACTGATGCTCTGTCTGAGATGCGACCTGCCACCCACCCTGAGGGCGACTCCTTGCGGCTCACCTGCTACAGCGTGGGGGTCTGAGTAGAACTCATCCAGATGAGAAGTGGAGCAGTCTAAAGCAGCTTTCAGTTTCTTTAACTTGGAGGCCCCAGCTCCAATTCGGAAAAGGCCCTGAAGACAACAAAAAGCCATCAGTGTCAAGTTCAAGTTGGGGGCGGCAGTACAAATCCGATGGAAGAGCCTTCTGCCCCGGCCCTGCAGACCCCTCTCCGAGGGCGGGAACGCTGCCTGCCTTGTAGGGTTGCCAGGAAGGGTGACGAGGACAAGCGCAGGCAGAGAGCAGCGCATTCCCGATCAGCGAGCACTCGTGCCCTGCCCCGCTGCTAAAATACCTGTCTCTATTAGAAATCTAAATGCGCTATTTTATACTTCCACAAGGCTGATTGCTACAGATTTTCTAAATTTAGGATTCTTTTGTATTTTTTTTAATGGACATCTCATGAGAAATTGTTAGACTAGGCCCCTTAGTCACTTTCACTGCTCTAAAAGTTACTTGGAGAAAAACACGTGAAGGTCGCCCAAGAAAGGCAGAACTGTGAAGACACTGGTCCAGGAGTTATGAGATTCGGGTTTTAAGCAAAATAAATCTAGCAGGGTTCCTCAGTCTCAGCAGAACTGACATTTCAGGAGCGGTAATTCCTCATCATGGTCCTGTCCTGTGCGTTGCAGGCTGCTTATTAGCAGCAGCCCTGGTCTCTACCCACTAGAGGCCAGGAGCAACCCCTCTCCAAGATCGTGACAATCAAAAATGTGTCCAGACTTCGCCAAATCGCTCCCAAAAGGGGAAAAAATTTAGCCCCGGCTGAGAAGCTCTGATCTCGGCTACTAGAAGTTGGGGTCATGTCAGTGGGGATGGGGCAGTGCCTGGAAGCAAACACAAGAGGGCTTCTAGAGTGTTCCTTGATCTGGATGCTGATCACACAGGTAGGCTCAGTTTGTTAACATTTATCAATGCATCACTTATGATACATACATTTTTCTATCTACATTATACTTCAATACGGTTCTTTTTTTT